GCTAGATGCAGTAATATACCAATATTTCAAATCATTGATTTTGACATCCCATTGTTTTATTTTATTTTATTTTTTGCTTCTGTTACATTAACACTAGATTCAAGGAATGATTACTGCTGCAGAAAAGGAAATAATACATAAAAAGAAAAAATGCAGATGAAAATTAGGTTTTGAAGGTGAAAGATTCCATGAATATGTGATTTCTTGATGTTTTTCTGGGGTTTTGATTTTGATACATTTGTATGCAAGATCAGTGTGCCCGGGGACATGTAGGGATAAAGCTTCAAGGAAGCAAAAAGTTTAGAGAAAAAGCTATAACTGATTAGTTTAAAAGCAGCATGCATGAAGCACATTTTTTGAGTAATGACTTTAACTTCTTCTTACTTTTCACACAAGAACAATACCAAGACAAAATATGCTCTCTCTTTCACTGTGACTATATAAAGAAGACTAGTACTAGTATCAATGTATCATTTCCTCTTGCTAGTCTGAAAATGTTTCATTTTCCTTTTGTAATCAAGGCAATCAAATTGTTGCAAACTAAATAATTGAGATGGGTATGCAATGCAACAATGAGATGGATGACACATAGACCCCATCTTCTTGTTCTTTTTCTTTTAGTAGAATGGAATGTGACCATCCTCAATTTCTTTGCATGCACTTAGCAAATGCCTAGTTGTCATGATTCATGACAACCCCAATCCATGGACCACAATCTTGGGGACCCTTTTTTGCCTTGTTTCTTATAAGCAGCTATTCTAAAGCCATGGTGCAGTTTGGAGGAGGCATTTATTGGGCACATCAACTTATCTTTGTGCTTTCTCAATTGCAATATGTGTATATATGTTTTGTCATTTCTCCTGGCACTTCACTCACGTTATGGCAAACAATCTATATTGTTTGGGATTTTGTTTGATTTTAATATGTTTAGCGTCAAAAAAATATTTTAATTTTTTTTTTGAATTGTACTTGTAAAACGTTTATGTGCAATGATACTTCATACATGAACTACTATTTTTTTTCAACGGCGACTCCTATTCCTACCTTAACTTATGTTAGGAGACGGCCCAACTCAACTGGAACAAGAGGACACCCAAAGGATGGTCAAAATGTCTGAATTGTACTCCACGAACTGTCTCCTGGCTAAAGTGGATTTGGTCTGACATTTCTGCGCTTCTTGAACAAATGATTGTACGATGTACGACCCTGTAAAAAAAAAGTAAACGGTACGTTGTTGTTACAATTGGATTGTTCCGGTGCCGTTATGGCAAGAACGCAGAAGCCAGATGGTGCCTTGGAGCATCAGCTGAGATGAGTTCTTGGTCCAGGATTAGCAGCAGAAGCTATTGAAGTTTGCAGGAATGGTGGGTCGATGTCCCTTTCCTGAACAATAAAACTGCACTAATTTTAGGGGACGAAGGAGAAAGGCCATCTAAGCCAAGTTAAGGACGCTATCCAGTGCAAATTTGTTGCTCCATTGTAGTTTCATCACGTCCATGATTTGGCCTCAAAATTTTGTGCGGCTCAGATCACGTCTTGTAATTCGATTTTCAAGTCAAGTGTGGGATCTACAAAAATTTGTTCTAAAGTTACGTTGTGTGTAAAAAAAGTTACACCGTGTACAATTGATGTTACTCACAGTGCAAAATGCACACAACCTGCACAAACGGTTGCAGTGCCCCTTGTCCTTTGATCACTGAATGAAAGAGGATGCTGCTGTTTGCTCAGTTTTTTTTTACCCTAACAAATTATACTGATTATTTTTTACTTCAAAATTTATGAATGAAATTGGCTTTACTTGACCTATCATTACATCACATGGCGTCTACTCTTTACTGCTTGAGCTGGTCAATATTGTGATGTATTAAATTGAGGTATTGATGATGCATGTGGCACATACTTGCACGCATTAAAAACCATCTTGTAATCATTATTATTAGTTTATTGTAGCTTTTCTTTCTTCTCCACTCCACTCCACGCATGGAGATCGGAGCGCCATGAATTCTTTAAGAACTTCTCAGACTTAGAGCAGCTGCACCAGACAATTGACGTTCCAGTCGACTCCAATGAAAATCAAATGAGATTAACTAGATTTAAGATTTTGTTTTAAAAGTTTAAATCCGACGCATTAGACCCGATGAACATCCCAAATCTAGTCGAGTTTATTTAGTTTTTGGTTCGATACGAGACATCAATTATATTCCGATTCAACGATGCATCTGTTGTGGTTCGTAACATTAAATTCTTATGAAATATATTTTAGATTATCATCGTTGAAGGAAGGATACAATCTTGCCCTAGTCAAAATTATTGTTCAAGTGAAAAAAATGTCTGCGAGTGACTTAATTCGTTAAATTCTTAGATTAGAAGTTTGAATTCGCACAAGTAAGTTCCATCTCATAAATTTTAAGAAAAAGGAAATTGTATATAGCGTAATTTTTTAAATGATTCCTAAGGAGGAATTCCTTAAATCATAGCATAGCAACTTTGGTCATCTTGAATTCTCTCGAAGGAGCGCCCATTGACCACGAGTGGCGGCAGGTGAAGTTGTATCCAACATTGAAAATGGAGTCTGCGATGGAAATGAATCAATGGCCAAGAAAGTCATTGGACTGCCAAAGCATTTTTATTAGCACAAGTCTCTATTGTTGACGAGGGATCCGAAATTGCTATTCGAAAGTGTGCATTGAGTAAATCTCACCCGTACAATAACCCGCAAATCAGGGGAAAGGTAAGACGCACTAAACAAATCTTGTGAGACGGATGGATGTTCCAGAAAATATCTTTCTCATATTCGTAATGAAAAACAGAAGTTGTCAAAGTTTTCAATGGCTGTACTTTGAACTTTGAAGTAACAATATGATAATCGTTAATGGAATATTAGTCCAATCTTGATTGTCAACAAAGAGAAAATTCATGATTAGTTTAAACATCTAGAAGGTAAGAATGCCATCCCGCGTTAAACTAACTGTTTAACGGTTAAGGTGGAGATTCAAGAAATCAAAACTTTTGGATCAAATCTTAATAATTAAAAAAAAAAAAGAAAAAAGAAAAAGAGAAAGCAAGCACTTAAATTACATGCTTCTTATTCGAGATGTTAGTTTTGAGTTATGGCTTGTGACATGTTTCTTCAATTGCAACTTTTCTTTTTTGTTTCTCTTTTTTTCTTGTGGGAGAGGATAAATGCATCCAAACAATTTGTCTCTATCACAATTAATTTTGTAAACCACCAAATAGCAATTCTCATGATTGTTGGTCTAAGACTCTACATAGCCAGAACCGCAGAACGGGTCTGCATCCGTAATTTGAGCTCATTTTTGCTGGCACTTGACATGGTTACCATTAAGAGGGTTGCATCCCAGCAATAAAAGTTTGCATAAACCAATGAAAGTTCATCAGGAGAATATACGAACGATTTGACATGATATTCATGGTTAATTCAAAATTCATGGGTCTGACAAAGTTGAATATGGCATACTTTTATTTGGTAGTATTGAACAAACCTTTTAATAAATCAAATTATTCGTGAACATGTTCATGTTTGGCTCGTTAAAGTTCGAACGCTTATTAAATGAATCGAATTCCAACACAATATTAGTCTCGTTTAATAATCGAACCGAATACGAATCTGCTCGCGAACTATTTGAATGCTCGTGAACACATGTATAATTATAAAAATAAATAAATACAAATATAAATATATTTAATATTATTTAATATATATATAATATTTTACTCAAAAAAAGTGATCATACATAAAATTAGTATTATTTATTTTTTAAGACAAAGAAATACAATCAAAGTTATTCTAAATAATGCATAACTATATTTTTTAATACTATAACAATATTATTGGTTGGATAATTTGACTAGACGAATTGTTGTCAAGCCTGGACTTTAAGTTCAAACACAAGTTCCACTAATAGTTAAAAAAAAATTTTTTAAGGACAATTCGTAATTCTTGTTACTAAGGGGTTTTTTTTTTTTTTTTTGGGAGAAGTTAGGACTATAGTTAGTAAAATAGGCTAGAGTGCAATGCAAAAATACTACTATTGTTGTACACGTATTATACAAGTTTTTTCTCAAAAGATTGATTAAAAGTTAGTCTAAAAAATACAAGTTCAATAAATTATGCTCTAAGAATACATATGTAAATAATGAAAATATGTTTAAAATTTATGAAACTCCAAATGAAAGTTCATTTACTATGATTTTCAGACGTTATGCTATATTAGCATCAGTTTGACTCATATTCTTATACATGAGGTATTAGATTAGTTATAATTTCACATCAAATTGTTGATATTATATGAATCTATATGAAAAAGGCCAATAAGAGTCTCTTTTTTTTTTTCATAACACTTAAAAAACGTATTTATCTTAATAGAAATTTTAAATTTTATTCTAAATTGAAGCACAATTGTGAAATTTAATAAGGAAAGAGTTTATTACGTGCTTTATGCATTTTTCCACCAGAAAGTACAAATATTATTTAGGGTACTTGAAAATTGTATGCAATATCAAAATTTTTTGGAATTATGCTGAGATTTAATAAACGAGTACAATAGGAGTTTCTACAAACACCTGCTGTACAAGTAATCTGCTAATCACACGGTAAACAGGTCGTGGATTTTCCTTGTTGCTACGCCCAGAATGGGTTCTGGCCCAAATCAACTGGATGAAGAGTATTGGCATCCGCAATTCAACTTGCTGTGTCCAACACCCATCATCGTAAGTTCATGACCTATGTTAGATCCAAAATGGAGTAATCGCCGAACCCCATCACCTCAAGCCCATGCCCCGGCTTCAGCTGTAGAGTCGACGAGGATGAATTGAACCTTCAAGCAGTTTTATATGCACAGCCATCTCAAACGATAAAAGGCTTCGTATTTATGAACGAGGTAAAAAATTCAAAACACGTCTGGTGCAAGCAACTAAAAGCCATTATTGCAATCTCAATGTAAAGCATTTCTTGTCTACTTATAAATATAGGCTTCGGATACTAGTAAACAATAGCGTGTTTTGTTTCTTGATTATTTTCAGTCCAAACTTCATTCACTTTCTAATCCTTTTCTTGGTATTTTGTTGCTTTGGTAGTCATGATACACACACACACACACACACACTCTCTTTCTTCAATTTTTCTTCAGTGAAACAAAATTAAGTACAAGCACTTCCAGTTTTCCTTGCCCTCTCATACTACCATATATTTTATAGTACACAACAACATTATTCACAAGCAAATTGCACCAGGAAATTGTTGTTCTCTTCAAACAGAAAGCTGAAGATCCTTTTAGTTGGTGCTGAAATCACTTGATTTGTAGAGTACGGAATTCCATGATCTCAGCAATCCACTTTCTGCTCATAACCATTCTGACTACACTCAGTTTTACATTCTTTCTTTTTCTGTGATATAATGTATTTTCTAGGCCACCTGAGGCTGATGCAGGAGGAGGATACAAGTCTCCTGAAGAAGGCATTGAATCAGGAGCAGTGCTCAAGCCCTTGGATGAAGAACCACCTGAGAGAGCTTCCGCAATCAAGGCTGTATAATGACCAAGTCTGTCGTGGTATCGAGAAGTCAGAAACTATGGATAATCAAGAAATTACATGGCTCATACTATGCGATTGCAACAAAAACTTGCAGCAGTGATGAAGTAACATGTCCCAACTCACAAATAGATACCATCTGCAGTTATTAACTATTCCTGGCCTATATTCAGATTAGAAATTTAAATCGACTCAAGTAAAGTAGCTGAAGTTACAATTAACTTGAATAATTAATTTTTTAGAACTACGGACCTCTCATGCAAACATGTTCTCTTTCTGAATTACTTTGTCAGAGGAGCATTACATATAGAAAATTTGGGAGCAGATCAACTCATGGTATTACGCTTTGTGGTTCTTCAATGCTCTGTAGTTAGTATTTGAGACGTTAGATATTTACATTTACTCATGCCATGTTTTTATGGTAGGTTGTTCCACTTGAGAATTTGTAAAAAAAAGGTATCCAATGCTCTTGAATCCTGTATTATTTTGACAATGGAACAATGGTTACAGTATGGATTGTGCATATCCATATAGGTGACTCAAAAAGTACCATGTAGCTGACTACAGAAGGAATCCATCAGTCGAGAGCATAGTGATATAACTTGGGATGCATGCACATGGAGAAGGAATAAAGTTCTGAGCAGAGGCGACAAAGGGGAATTATAGAGTTCTGAACAGGGTGGACAGAAGGGTGGAAAGTTGAAAATCAGGGTTGTTAATAATTGAGGCTTGCAGTTGCCCTAACCAATTCAATCCCTCCAAAATATTATTTTGTAGCTGAGATTAACCAAAATATTATTTTTATATGAAAAAACAACAATGAAATGGCCTTGTGTTTGTGATAAATATCCAGTCAAACAACCTGTGTGGGAAATCTTGCAGCGATTATGAAAACAGCCAATAAAAGAAGAATTTAAACACATATTCTAAGCAAGAGGTTCATGTTTCATAGAATAGACTACCTCAAGGACTGTTGAAGAGGTCCATCATTATAACGAAGCAAACAAATGAGAAGAGAACACTGCCAAAAGGGTTCAAGACTACACCAAGTGAAACCACCTTATCCTCTGCACCACCACCACAGGAAAACAATCAAACAATGCAATAAGATTAAGAATTGAAGGGAAAAATTGCAAATTGTCAAGGAAAGATGCTGCGTACTGCATTCTCTGGCGTGGCAGATACATCTTAATCCAACTCCACAATTTCCATCTGGCTTTTTGCACTCGTCACATGGGTTAGGGACATGAATATCAAAAGAAATTCTTGTCCCCAATTCAAATCCACAGCTATTGTCATCCACTGATGCATTTCTATACATTCTTCTGTAATGTGTGCAGTTCATTTGTTTGGGATGAAAGTCCCCATCCAGTTTCCTTACGTCCTGAACCACAAAACAAGAAGAGATCCCTTTTCTAAGCTCTTGTTGGTGAAGTTTTGAACAAGAACCTCCCAAGGCAGGTAAACTAGAGCAATTGCTCATATATGGAGATGCTGAGTTCTTTTGGCTTAAGCAGTTGTAAAGAACCAAGGAGTTAGGCTGAGGGGGATGAGGGAATCCTGCTGATAGACTTGTAGGAGATATGAAGTGAGAGGCGGAAGAGCAAGAGCTGTGTGAAATGGTCAGCAGTTTAGTCTCATAATCAATTGAAGAAACCTGGAAAAGACCAAGTGAAGTTCTGAAGTACAATTTCTGAGCTTTGCAAAGAAGCATGTGATTTAAAGGGGACAAATATGTGGAATTATGAAGAAAAAAAGGACTTTGGATCCTTATCTTTCCACAATTGCTGATTGTTGTTTCTTGAGATACGGAAGTGGGAAAGGAAATTTTGAGTAAAAGGAGGGCTTGAAGAAGATGGACTTTCTTCAAAATCTGCATTTCCTTTCTGATATTGGCTTGGAATTCCGGCTTCAACTCTGGAGAAACGTTAGAAAGAGCACCGCTGTTTTGATAAGATGCAGAAAGCTAAAGGAGGTTACAGAACAAAGAATCCACTTTTCAACTTTTGATCAAAGCTTATGCTCTGCCTACACTTTGTTATTATCTTTTGCTAGATTCCGCAACAAGAACCTTTTTATATAGCGAGGATAGAAACAAAGAAGAAAAGGAAAGGATGCACAATCATTCTTATCCGAACATACTTATTTGATCAATGTTATGCTCTGCCTATAATTTATTACTACCTTTTGCTAGATTATACAACGGGAACCTTTTTATTTAGCAAGGATAGAAACAAAGAACAAAAGGAAAGGATACATAATCATTCTTATCTGAATATCCTTTCTTTTTCTGGTTTTTGGCATGTGAACTCTTTAAATCCTGTAAACATTCCTTTTCCCACAGAGACCACTTAACCATTATCTGTGTTGCATTATCTTGTTGGAAAAAAACCTTTCCTATAATTTTGGAGCAAGTGACGGCAATTTAGATATATCATGGTGTGAACTAACACACAGTTAGTTACACCACAGCCTTCTTTAAATTGAGATTTTGTAATCCACCCATCTCACTAGATTTGTTATTAGACGAATGCCCATTTAGATAAAGGCTTTGTCTGGATAATATAATTCAATTTCAACCCAATAAGCAGAGCTTTAGGGGCTTCATAACCTGCATTATTAGTTGCTGAGGCAGGTCTTAAAGTGGCAGACAGATTTCATTAACTGGGACCTTCTGAAAAGGTATATATTTGTGGGGCACATAGTCAAATCTTTCTGCAGTGCAGTATTATACCATCATTAGTCATAATAGTATTAGTCATGATATTATATTGGCGGGGCACAAAGTCAAATCTTTCTGCACTTCTTTATTGTACCATTATTAGTCATAGTAGTAGTATTAGTGTTACCATATTGGAAAATTAGTCATAATAGTGTGATGCAGCATTATTTTTTGAACTGAGAGAGGCACAAGAGATCATTCTGAAATACAAGATAAAAGTCTGGATGACGATCTTTCAATCAATACAACACCAATATATAACACATAATAACCCAAACAGGCAAAACCCAAGGAAATGCAGAAATTCTGAAACATCCCCTCCCAAACACACTGCTGGAAGAGTATAATATTACATTACAAAGTCATACAATAATTTTGTCATTGTGCAGCGATCTTGTTGGTCAAGCTGGAGCTTTAACAGTAACAACAGGGAAATCAAGGAGCAAAACCTTTTCAATTACTGTAGAAAATGTGGATGAGAACTCAACATGATTAGGATGGCCAACGAAAGCCGTGAGGTCTTCCTTGCAGCCAAATGTCATCAAGAAAGCATGAGTAAATCCTTGTCTAAGCATCTCCGGACTTTCAATGTCTTGTCCCCTGTAAAAGATAGATTCTCATCTTACAGAAGTTGAAAGAATTTTCTGTCCCTGTTAAAAAATTACTTGCAATGATGGCATTGTATTGTTCTAGCCAGGAATCTCAAGTTTGCTATGCCAGTTATCGTATTGGTCAGAACAAAAATTCGCAAAACATGAGGAATTAGAGTTATGATCACTTACCAAACAAACGACTTGACAGATTCAATCTCAGAAACAAGTTTCTCCAACCCTTTCAAGACATCTTCCACCACCACACCCTCCTTGAACTTAACCACCGCCAAATGATTGAATTCAGCCATTGCCAACAGTCCGAATGAAGCAAGTGGCTTACAAGAAGGGCCTCAATTTATACTCGAAAGGAAAAATCTTTTTAGGTGTCAACCTCAACAACAGGCGCATGTGTGAAATTAACTGTTGTACCATGAATGTCAGACTCGACTTTACAAGACAATATCTGCAATCCGAAATATGGAAAGGTAAAGTTGCTGTTGGACTCAGACCCACAAAACAATTTTTCAAGGAAGCCTTGTATTTCACACAAATGGTTGAATTGTCTGACACTAGTGTTTCTCACACGAATGGGGTCCTGAATTGATGCCATTCTTCTTGGTCTTTCTGTTCTGGAAATGACTCGTTTCCAACAGTAAACATCGTCACTGCACCTTTTATCTTTTTGTGGATGAAATTGAGCTGAAACTTTTCTTTTCATCCTAGTAAACTTTGGTTGCTTCTTTTCTCTACAAAAAATCTTTGAACCAACTTTGCTTGATTGTTCATTGCTGGAGTTTTCTTCCCTGTCCTCACCCACGTGCAATGCTTGAAAAATGGAACACATAATTGAAAGTTTGATAGACTAGTGAGATAACACCACTTTTGGGCAAGGCATCACAGTGCCATTGATCGACCATCTCTCTCAATTTGAAAGATAATATGTGGTCATGGAGAAACCTGGCCCTATTAGTCGTTAATCATGTAGAATCTGCTAAAAGAAATGCAATTATTGTTGGGAATTACTTGTTTTGAGTTCTCAAGTCATAACTCAATAGAATGAGCAATGGTATAGTCTAATTGCAATTGGGCGAGGCACTAAGCTCTCCAACATAAGATTATGGTACGAGGCACTTAATTTCTTTTTCACAGAACAACAACTAAATCTCTTTAGCATTCTTACACACCCCAAATCTTGAATGCAGGCGAAGTAAACCTTAAAGGCTTTGGATTCTTTATTATACCTTTTTGTGCTACAACATGTTTTAGAATAATAATTACCCCTAAAAAATATTGTAAGGCTTGATGTTGCGATCTCAATCCACAAAAATGTAAAAAATGCAGTAACACTTGACACTCAATTAAAGTTGTCATAATTCATAGGCTGTCAATGAAGTCTGGCCAGTTTGAGCCCAATCCATTTAGCCCAAAAAGAGTTCGTCGAACCTTAGTTTTAATTGAATCGAGTAGAGTTTGGACCTAAATATTAGGTCTTAACTAAATGTGAGCAAAGTTTGGGATGTACTAAGCACAAGCCCCATCAAGAGTCGGTCAATATATGAGTGTGCGTGTATATAAAAGATATAATAATATTCATAATTTATAATTATACATATTATGACATAAAATGTTAATAATTTATATATAAATTTATAGTAATTCATAATTATAAAATATATATTATATATAAGGAAAAAAATGCACTTTTCATTCCCAAAGTTTGGGATGTTGGACAATTTAGTCCCTAAAGTTTCAGTCAAAATACATTTCATACTTGTAGTTTTGTAATTTTGACCAATTTCATTTCTAAAATTTCATGCAAACATAGTTCATCTTTATAGTTTCATAAATTTGAATAGATGAGGACAATTGAATGATTATTAACTAATTTGGGTCCAAAATTATCACGTGACTAGCATGTCCTATTAATAATTGTATTGTTAATATTCAATCATTGATTAAATTACATAAATAATAATGAATGTGTTCGAATAAGAGATTTTTGTTTTAAAATTTGTGATATGATGTATGTGAGATAAAAAAAGATTGGATGATAGATAGACAATTTGAAAAACATATATGTGATGCAACAAATAAAAATTTTACAAATAAATGACAATCTAAACAATTCTTTCTTTCACGTTAAAAATTTTTCTCCAATTTGTTGCAATGGTATTGTTTGAAAATTTTCTCCAATTGGCTATAGTGGGGTTGATACTTCTCCATGACTTCGTTTCCTCTCAATCTTTTTGTTCAATTTGTGACTAAGACGAGAGTAATGGTGGCTGAAAATTTCTTAGTTTTTTTAAGAAATAAGAAAGTGAATTAAAAATCAATTCTTGAGATTTTTATCGATCCAATGTTTTTTGTATTTTACTGATGTGCATGCTTTTATTCAAGTGATGATATTCGATTCAAATTGTTTGGCAATCCATCAATTATACGTAATTAGTCAAATTTATGAAACTACGAGGATAAAATGTGTTTGCATGAAACTTTAGGGACGAAATTGGTCGAAATTATATAATTATAAGGATAAAATGTGTTTTGACTGAAATTTCATGGATGAAATTATCCAATACTCCAAACAATGGGGATGAAGAGTGCATTTTTCCCTTATATATAATTATATGTTTAGTTATGAGTTTGATCGAATCTAAATTGAGCTCAAATCTCATATAATACTGTAAACTAAGTTTGAACATCTTAATTTGAATCTGAAACCTGAAAACCTTATAATTTGTGAGCTGAATTTGAGCTTCCTAAAATTCGATTAAAAAAGTTTAATTGACACCCCTAATAATTTTTTTTTTAGTATAAGTGGGAGAGTTTGAATCCAAAATTTTTTACTTACACTTCCTCTCTCAAACCACTCAATCCATCCCCTCCTCCCGCCCTATTAATTCATTTATTACTTACTCTTCCATCATAATCACATTCTACAATTCTTCAAAATCAACAATTTTTTTGATTATGTACAGTGTCACTGTTAAAGAACTCGATGCATCGTCATAACATCGTGCATTTCTTCACATCAAACAACTTCACCAAAGTTTTGGTTTTACGTAACACTGAAGAATATGATCCGTAAACAAAGACTACAACATGATCCGTATGCGGATTGACAGAGATGGCAAAATATGCAAGTCCAGAGAAGCCATTCTGACAAAAAATGGGACAATCTTTCGCGTACATGCACGGCACCTATGAATTTTTTGTATCAGACGTAATCAGTTCCTTCTTCACCAACTGCAACAGTAGGCCTACTGCGGAAGGAATAAGGATACGAATGCGTGGTCCAAGTTACCCACTGTTTAGGTCTTTATAATCCATGTTCCATCTGGACCCTATGGTAGAAAAACAAACAGAGAATGCAGAGAACGAAGAACAGTGAGGAGAGAATGTGCACCAGCACTGCAGATTTTTCGGCTTGCTGTTGCCAACTTGCCAAGCGATGATTTTCAAGAAATATCAGTGGCAAATAGTTTTCTGGAGCAGTAATAAACGTGATGCATTCGTTGTTCAGCAAATTTTGCTATACAATCAATCACATGCAACTATAGAAATTTGAAGGAGACCAGTTGGCTTCTGATTTTCGCCTAAAGTAAATTCGGAAAATAGCGAAATATAATAATGCAAAAGCGTATATTTTCATTTCATAAATATTTACCAATGGCAGATACTAGTTGTATACGCAATAAATTAATGTGAAAAATCACCGGCATCCTATTGAAAATCCAAAAATAATAAAGATTATATCAAGAAACTCCAACAGGTTTGAAATTCGGATAAATAAAAAAAATCTGTGCGTGTTTCAACATTGTCAGATTTGCTTGCTATATATTCAACTGATTCATAGTTAAGTTTGAGGTTGAGATGTGACAAAAGGACCTAAGAATCTAGATATGCCAAAAAAAAAAAGAAGACAAATTGCATACTCCATTTTGATTACATCCCCCGGATCTTTTACATTCACATTGACGGAAATTTGGTAGCCATCATCATGCAGCCCTCTTTCCTTGACGGAGAAACGAAACCTCCAATCAAGTAATATCACACGCATATCCCTAATTTTCCATCTTCTTTAAGAGGTTGAAATTAATACTAATTTCCATCATTTTATCAGACGTCAGAGCCAGTGCCAACATCCAAGTGTAAAATTGACAAAATAAGATGGAACCCACGTTTCGGTACAAATTTGTCAGCGACAAATCTGTCTTCGTTCTTGGTTGTTAGTCAGTAGAAAAGAATACAAAAAACATAGCAATTCATGTCATTTTTCAATGAGGTCCAGTCCCTTGTGCATCAAACGTAAGAGGATATGCGCTGTATGCTTTCGTGATTTTCCAACATGTCTGGTCCACCTCCAAAAGCTACTTCTACGGTGGAAGAATTAACAACCACCATAACGTTGTCCATAAGCAATTTTGTTCGATATAGCCTCGTCTTTTCTCTAAACCATCTACTGAATTTCCACCACAAGAGGAGTTGTTTTTTTTTTTTTTTTTTTTGCTTCTAATTATTATTCATTGAAATTTTTTCTTCATAATTTTCCCAATAGTTTTCTGATAATATCAAATTTAAAGATGAAATTATTTCAGTGATTGACCTTGACCTGAACCAGTTCAACTGATTGGACTAAACACCCAAGTGCCGTTGTCTAACCTTGTTAGAACGAAAAGAAATTATCCACCCATGTATGAAAAAGGTATTGGGATAATTTCAAAAAAACCTCCCCTGAAGTTTCTAATGGTCTCGCTCCCCTCCCCTGAGGTTTTCAAAATATTAGAAACTTCCCCTAAAACTAGATAGGCAGTCCAAAATCCAACCCAATTCAAAAATGAAAATAAAAATTTCGACGCTAGAGAGAGAAAACAACTTGACACCACAAATGCCCTCATTGTCTTGCATTAGTGAAGTTACAGGTGAATGACAAGTAATAATTTTCAATAGCAAATTAGCATATATGTAGCCTCTCACACATTTACAAAGCATACATAAATGAGCTAAGCACACCGATTTGGCATTTTACTATATGAAGCAATCCAAGTCATACAAGAAACATAGAATCAACTAAGCATAATTTTTGAGGATTAGCAAATCAAATCAGTCAAGTAATAGAAAATTAGCTAAATATAATCTACCATACACAAACAACCACTATATCAATATAAACTGTCAAGGAATATTGAAAAATTTCAAATTCTTAAAAACTAAACTGGTAGAAGCTTAAAGAGCTCTTCAACAAATGTAAGAATTTAGAGCTTTTCTATATCATGTATCAAGCTTTCTCTACCATATATCAACAATGGTTTAAAGAAACTAATTGAAATGACTTGTTGTACTTGGAGCTTTCTAGGCCATATATCAATCATCAAGCACCGCATGAATTTGGTGCCATTTTCTTCATGGCATTTTAGATATTAATTAAAGGAATCTAAATTATAACCGTATTTATAACTAACTTAGCTTAATTTGTCCATATAATTGCGAAACATTTGGCAACTTGTGCAGGTATTTAAGTCTTTTCGCCCATGAAGATGTAAGAAGTGGAATCCAATATTCTATCAGGGAAGGTCTCTGATTATTTTGGAAACCTCAAGAGAGGGGAATGAGACTGTTATAAATCTTTGGGGAGGTTACTAGAATTATCCATATATTTGTTGAGGAATTTAATAATTTCAAGAAATTTTTTCTAAAATTTTACCAGCAATTAACTCAATTGGATTATTTACCCAAAGAAAAGGTTAAACTCAATTGGAATGACTTCGAGATAAACTCATGGAAGTAAGGAAAATGATTTGACCGAACATTCATTCCGGTCGGTGGCTTCCCCTTCTCGGTCCCTTGAGTTTCACACTTTGTGGGCTGCCTAATTTAATGAGGTGCCCTGTGCAGCCCACGTGCGGGGCCAGAGTTCCTTTTGGGACGATTTTCTGCGGGGAAAAAAGCCCAGCACGGATCCTTTTTCGATTTGTTCATGCCTTTTTTTATGAAACGAAGCAAATATAATTTTTTATTTAAATTTTATTTTTACCTCAAAATTTTCTATAAGCTATAGTTTGCCCTCAAATTTTACTTAGAACATTATATTAACCATAGATTTAAGGGGTGGTTTAGAAATTTCATAATAATTGTATATGAAGAGTTTGACTATTCAAGGTTGACCGTCAAATCTAATGAAAAATCTAATAGCTTCACTATTACAACTACAAGGGTTAAATTGTAGGTGTCTAAATCATAGGGAGCTAAAGTATACATACGCCAAATCATGAGGGGATTTTTTTTTATTTTATCCTTTTTTTTTTGTTTCCCTGTCATATTGTTATACCAAAGTTGGTGAGTATTCTCTTTTGATTGATGTTCATAGACAGGGTATATGGAAATGATTTTTTCGACCTTTTCATACAAAAGGTAGTTAGATCCAAATGCATAGAAGTGGGTATATGGACATGTTTGTAAATGCATAGAAGATCCAAATTTTTTTCATTTGTGTTTTATGATAATGACAGAATTAGTATTGTAATAATCATAGCATTTTCTAGCTTTTCCACCGGAAAATAGTACATTTTTACCATGCGACGCACGCTGATGAAAGAGAAAAGAAAAAGCAACATTATATGTTAATTCAAGCTACTGGCCGGCCATAGACCTTTTCGAAAGGGCTCGGACCAAAATTTCGTAATATATGAGAACAAGAAAGAATGTTTTAGATTGATAATTTAATGCACCAAAAATAATTTAATTTCGAAGATTGTTGGGAAAGGTAAGTATGATCATCTCCTTTCTGATACATAAAAAAAATCAGAACATTCGAAATCTACAAAATCTTTTGCTTTAGAAAAGGAAAAAGAATTGATGTGGGATTGGCTATTGACGATTAAACCTATGGATGACACTAATTTGTAATTATGAATGTCTTTAGGTTGTTAATTATTATACAGTTACGTAGACATACCCAATAGTCAAAACTCTTATTTCCTCGAGCTTTCATTTGGTGACGATATACATTATCCTTTCCCCTGTTTTTCATCCTCCTTTACAGCACCATATATCAATGCCACTTTACGCAGTTATGAAGGAAACCTAAACCCTAAGATCGATTAAGGAAAGCTTTCTCTTTTTCCAAGAGTATTCAATGCAAAGAAAACCAAAAAGGAAAGAAAAGCATCATGATCAAGAAAGAGGCAAAAAAAAAAATTTTTTTTTTTTTTAAAATACAGACCAGCCCTACCATCCGAGCATAATGAGGGATGCATACACCATATAGCATATGCTAATAATTTTCGATGTATAAGACGTTTCTACTGGTTACTTAAAGTATATATTAAAGTATTAAGAATTTTGTGTCTTAAATCGATAGGGTTTGTGGTATTCGACAAAGTATAGAAACATAATTGTTTGTTATGAAAAATTTATAGGATTAACCTTATATACATTATTAATGTATATATTATGAATCTTGAATGACTGACAAATGCAAAATTTAACTTTTACATATATGTCATAAATCTAATATTGAGATAATATATACACTCTCAGTGAATATAAAATTTATTCAAATATATATATATATATATCCTCAAAAGTATATTAGCAGGTTATTTTGCACGAATAGGTACATGTGAATGCATTTAACAAAGAAGACTACAATGTTTTTTCTTTGCATTCAACAACCATTGTCGACGTGCTAGAAAAGTATAAATCACGAAGTCCTTAAATCTTTAGAACAAGTCAGCGTGCATGAAATTATACGTATAAATTTTCATGAGAGACATAATTTTTGTTACACGTTCGCTTTTATTTCTTTACGAAAGAATACAAGTACAAACGTTTACCCTCATGAAAAGTTAAAGAGTTGCTCGAGGGTTGCAATGCCTCGATGAAAAGTTACGAGTTGGTGAGGGTGCAAAAATTCTCACCAACTCTCGCACTATTATATCAACTTTTTTTTTGTGGTTCTTGATGGATATTTTTAACTTTTCCTGCAAATAGGAATCGTTGACCATCATTCTGTCTGCAGTTAGCTTCTTCTAAACGGTGATGGAAAAACTTGCCTAGTCATGAAATAGAAGAAAAAGAACAAATTGATGATGTCTAACTCATGAAGATTCAAAACCCTCCAATGGCTAATGATTTCCAAACAAATGAGCAATCATACAGAAAATTTCTTACCAGTTGTTATCTTGTTTCTTCTACCTTCTTGTGGGCCTTTCGATCTCAGCACTTTTCTAGAGTATATAATATTTTGATATAACAGCACACCCAAATTTTCTTCTGGTCGGAGCTGCTTTTTGAGAGTTCAAAGTTCGGAAGCTTGGTAGATACCGACCACAAAGCTGGATTACTAATACCACTAATCAATGCCACTTAATTGTACCGCCATGATTAATGTCCAGGCCCTAGCTAAGCAACCAACCATAGGCGTTAAAGTCTTCTGTTTCTTGATTAACGACTCATACTGATGCGATTTTTAGGTTGCCAACTCCGGCAAATATCTCTAATTAATTGCGTCATCTCATGCGTAGCTGTAGCAAGTCTACAAAGACGTCGTTTTATATTCTGCCGGAAAAATTAAAACTAGTCAAATTGATTATAATAGGGCCTAACGAGCTTACGCACGCACCTTTTCCAATTAAAGAAAAGCTATTATATGTGAACAGGGGACGAAATTAAGGTCAGGTGATCAAGGGACTGCGAAGTTGATTTTTGGTCACTGTTTGGGAGACCAAGAGTACATAGCATAGCGGCCAGTGTTAGTCTTCTCATACGTTTTTTTAAGTTCATGAACTAAAGCATCTGACGAAGATTCTTGTTCACACGAGTTTTCTGTTAAATTTTTGAGGAAAAACAACTCCTCGAATAGGCATCAGTTGACCCGGATTTTCTTTATTACCATAAATATTTTCTGTTTGTTGATTTATGTAGTATGTGAGGAATCAATTAATATCTCAATACGCTTTTCTTGGTGTATGTTGTGGGTCCAAAATTGCACTATGCTTCTTCAACCACCATATATATAATGTAATGGAGTATTACAATTTACAACCATGCATATATGCTCTTTTTGGCTGTTCAATTTACACCTAAACAATTTCCCACAAAGCTTTTGTTCATGGAAACACGTACGTACTTTAAACAATTTGCTTCTTCTGGAATAGCCACCTTAAGCAAAAAAAAAAAAAAATTGAGAATACAAGAATGTGTTATACTCGATCTTGACTTGTTAAATTCATATTTTATTAACCTTAAACTATACATTTCTACCATTTCTTGTTCTTTTTCTGTAAGCACAATAAAAGCCACTGAATTCACGTGTAACATGAGTTCAAACATAAATAATGAGTTTATATGTCAACACCCCTCCCCTGCAAATTAAATAAAACGATTTTGTTTAGGCTATAGTACAAGAGCAAGGTCTGGCTGAAATTCAACCACGTTTTTTAACTAAGGAAAAAAAGCATAGCGTTGTCTTATATTATACCTCCGCAGGAAGAGTGAGGAAACATGTTATACCTAGTTCCCCAACTTCTAGATCTACTTCTCTTTGATTTTGAATTTAAGTATCTTAGCGAGAGTGGAGATGAAGAATGTCACAAGATCTTCATCCAACATCCGAATAATGTCAAGGATTAACTAGCTACAAAATACCCTTTTGAACTTTTCTTTAGTTGCAAAATGTGCCCTCCTAACTATCAATTTTAGCATCATACATTTTTGAACTATAAATTTTTAGCAGTGTACTCCAATTAACTTGTTGCTGGCAAAATTTAATGAATAAAGATCATTAGTATCTTTGTAGTTGGTTAAGCGGCGAAAATATCCTTCTTCCTCTCCAACTAACTTATATATACATTTCTTATCTTTTTTCTCACACAAACTCAAAATCTCTCGCATCCTCTACCTCTCTTTCCCTCTATATGTGTACATGCATAAAAGAGAAAAATCATGATATTTGTATATAAGCCAACCAATTTCAGAGGAAAAATGGCATTTTGACTACTTAACTAAATTTAAGGACATCAATTAATAGCACATTACTCATTAAACTTCTTCGGAGGCAAGTTGGTTAGAGTACATAAGAAGAACTAACAATTCGAGTGTGTATAGTATAGTGCTGAAAAAGATAGTTTGGGGTACTTTGCAATTCAAAGAAAGTTCAGGGGTACTATGCAATTCAAAGAAAGTTCAGGGGTACTATGCAATTAACCCTAATTTCAAATAAAGAGTCAAGATTTAATTCCTACAAATAAAAAATGCAAACATGCATTAAACAAAAGTAGAATTTTTTTTTTTGGTAGGAAAAAATTTGGATGGATTTGACTTCGTTACCAGCACAACTCAGTACATTTCTTCGAAAAGACTATTAAGTCGCTAATAGAGATTTTTAATACAGACTTAATATCAGCAGTAAAATTTGAACGCACAATCTTTTGTAAAAAAATTGGCCGTTGTTGCTTAATTAAGTAAATTTGTGTTAACATGCTAGCTTTACGCAGTAGATGAATATGCAGAAAATGGTATAGACAAAGTTCAAAATCAAAAGCATTACACTTACCCAATTCAGACCACGAATTTACCCAAAGGGGTTATACCTATCAAGTATCAACTACAGAGCCCAGCCCCAGCTGCTCACCAGTCAAGACCTACGCTTAGAATCTCACACGAGAGTTACCTATCAAGTGTCAGCTTCAGGGCCCTGCCCCAGGTGGTCCCTCATCAAGTCCTACTCTTAGAATTCTGCATCCTGCAAAGTTGTTGATTAATTATTATTATTATCATTTTACACACGTGGCCTCCCTCTTTCCACTGCCCACGGCCCTGCTCCGTTCCTTTCCCTCACGTGCATTATTAGCAACTCCAGTCCAGTCGTCACAATTCTTCACGTGCCAAAATTCGGAATGAGTATAATTTATGTAGCACGTGCTTTTCCGCATTTTTGCGTCCCTCTCAGCGTTCATTGCGTGGTTGGCCTGTAGATTTGACCCTACCCAGCGGCCTTTATGCACTTATATTTCCGTATATATACTACAAAAAATTCTCTATTAACTTCCCGTGCTTCCACTGCAAAATGAAAAAATCCCTTCTCAAGAATAACTGCGGAAACATGGATTTGAAGGATATCATTCGTCAACTTCACCATCGTCTTCATCTTCATCACCATCCTCTTCTTCTTCTTCTTCCAGTGATGATAACTGTAACGTTACAGCAAAAAGTTGTAAAGAAAAATCAGCCAAGACAAATGAGCAGCAGGGGCCATTTTTAGCGTCACATAAGAGAAAGGCAGGAAGGAGGAAGTTTAAAGAGACTCGCCACCCCATTTATAGGGGTGTCAGGAGGAGAAATGGGAATAAATGGGTTTGCGAAATGCGTGAGCCAAACAAGAAGACGAGGATTTGGTTGGGGACTTTTCAAACCCCGGAAATGGCAGCTAGGGCTCATGATGTTGCTGCCCTGGCTCTTCGTGGTGACCATGCTGCACTCAACTTTGCTGACTCTGCTTGGCGTGTGGCACGAGCTCAATCATCCTTGGCTAGCGATATTCAAATCGCTGCACTTCAAGCTGCTCAAGCTTTTAGACCATCTTTGGTTGATGCAAACCCTTCTTCCTCATCTTCGCCAAGTTTGCAACATGGAGATCCTGTAGAGAAGTTTGATTGTAAGAATTCATCCGCGAACGATCCTTTAGATGTTAAGGGCCAAGATAAGGTCCCAGATCATCCAATATTGGGATTGATGGATGTTGAGATTGGTGCAGAAAATATTTGTTGTCATTCTGCAACGATGTTCGTGGATGAAGAGGCAGTGTTTAACATGCCAGCCTTAATTGATAACATGGCGGAGGGTATGCTATTAACTCCGCCAGCAATGAAGAAAGGGTTCCATTGGGACAATGGAGAGGGTGATGACATTGAGTTAACTTTATGGAGGGACTGAGGACGGACAAAGAGGCAAGGCCTGACACTGGATGGAAGGTCCATCTGAGTTTCATTTACACTCGCTGTCAAAATTTACATCTTATCTTTCTTTTTCTGGTTTTTGAGTGTACAATATTGCTGGACATATTAAATTTCTTTATATATAGCTTTTTTGGCTTTAAAGTCTATGCCTAGAGGATCATGTTTACCTAGGTAACATAAATAGGTAATTAGTAGATCCCTTGGGTTTTCTTTAAAAAAAATTTCTTACCCACGATCTTAATTTTTTGACGAATTTGGAGAGAAACATAAGTTTTGGCTGAGATTATTGTGGCTGTGGATAGGTTTGTCATCGCGGTCGCCCCTAATCGCAATTGTTCCATATCCATCATGACATATCGATCTCAAATTGGGTGATATGCATATTATAACATATAAAAATTCTAAAAAAAATACTAAAAATAAAAACATCAAGAATTCTTTTTTTTTTTTGTTTGATTTCCAATTCAAAACAATATGACTCGGCGAGTTTTAGCCAATATGTGATGAGTTCAAATTGATTCAATCAGTATCAACTGAGTCACTTCGAATCATATTCGAAATAGATTCACCAGTGTGTTAATATCGTATCGAGAGGCTCGTGCCAATTATGTATTGCCCGAGTCATCTCAGGAAATACCGTGAATACTAGGCTGCATTGAGTACAAATTACAGGTTGTACGGTAAAATGGAGATGCACAAATTAAAGTTGGATCAAAAGATTAATAGTAAGCGTCAATTAACACTTTACACTCTAAAAGTTCAGGTATCTTTTGAAGACTTATTTACCCTTAAAAAAAAAAGATTTTCAATATTTGAAATTACTAATTCTTTTACAGCTATATCTGGCTCGTAACACTGTTTTCAGTTGGCAAGCTAAGCTGTGCATTGGTACATTAAGCACTGTTCGACTAACCCCTTCGTGTGTAAAGTTCAAAAAATAATGGCTTTTGCCGCAACTGATTATGAGCTTTGGAGAGCCAGAAACGATTGTTACTATAATGCTGGGCACCCTTCTTCTCGTCAGATTATGCAAGCCGTTGTGAGGGACATTTGTTTTACTACTGCAGCGTGGAAGAACGTGAGTAGATCTTGAGAGACTTGGGAGTTAGCCGTGGAATTAAGATTACCTCCTTCCTGTTTTGCATAGCAGTTTTTTGTTCCTCTACTAGTTTGGCTAATTAGTACTTATACAGCAGTATAGTGTTCTGGTTTTGGATGTAATTTATTGTTGCCTTTCTTTGTACAACTATATTCTGCTTATCAATAAAAAGTACTGTGTTAGTGTTAAAAATAAAAATAAAAAACACTGTCCTTTTGATACTCAACCAAGGTGCCAATTTTATCACGATTGGCCCAACTAATCATTGAAAAAAAATACTAGTTTAATTGCAAAGTATTTAAATATTTGAAATTACGTGAAACATTAGTATTCTGAAAGAAGTAAACAAATGCTTACATAAACAGCGGAAGATAGTAGGGTTCCAAAGTATTCTACTTGCTTTTTAGCTCATACCTATATCCATAGAGTCAAGCAGTCATTTTTTACCAATGTGTTGGGTGGAAAACGTTATAATTTTTAGCCTCGATGAAATATAGAAGCGTCCTTTGTTAGTGGACAAAGAATTGAATCACAAGCACGTAATAATTGCTAATCTTGGGTTTACTTCAACTCACAGACCAATCAGCTTGGATTCTCCATATATATATGGATGCCAAATAAATAGTAGCAAAGCTTTGGATAAGCGTGATGTGATTGATTATTCATCAAATAACAACTTCTACGTTCCCATGATCAATGTGATCGATGTTCCAGACGACTAGATGGGCTGTCAATTTTTTTTGTTTTTTTGACTTAGTTTACACAATCCTTTTCACCTTAGCAGCGTGCCAATTATGGTTTCATCTGATAGTTGAGTAATGCGTCCAAACAAATAATGATTCAAATCGCAACTTCACGTGTCCGTGATCTGTGTTTTTAGACGACTAGATTGGCTGCTAATCTTTTCTCTCGATCTGTTTTTGTTTTTTACCAGTTGGAAAGTAATTACAAAAGGATAAATATATCCCCCTTCTTTCCCTGCTTCTCTTGTGCTCCGGCTGCGCAATCTATTCTTGATTTTGCGGTTTGCACGACTCTTTTGAGCTTAGCAATGTGCTAATTATGCTTTATGTCTAATCATTTAAGTTCAAGATTTCAACAATTAATGATTGAAATTGACAACTTCTACACGTTCGTGGTCGGTGCATGTTTGCAGATGACTAAATCGGCTCGGCTGCTAATCTTTTCTTGACTTTGCAGTCTGCAGGATTGTTTTGAGCTTAGCAGTGCGCCAATCATGCTTTGATACTTATAATCTTATCTCTGATGTAATGCTGCCTATGTTGGATTTCATCTATAAATTCTTTACTTGCAAGGGGAAGGAAAAAGTTGAAGAGTGAAACGTGAAGATGAGGATGGTGAGAGTCAATTAATGCAGCAAATAGCAAATCACAGATTGGAATTAAGTGTTTAAACAGACGCATGATCCAGCTCGACCAAACATCCTACAAGTCCTCCACCACCTTTTAGTTTATATTATAATCAACGAAGAGCCCACGAAAGTTTGTGATATTCCTCTACTTTGTTCCCAATACCGTCACAAGTATTCCAAATGTTTAATTTATACAAACCGATTTAAGCTGTTGCATGAGAGTCATGCAACGACCCTTTTTGCATGAATTAATTTCAGAGGTGATTTTTTGGATTCTATGTTTATAGGGAAGTGCTACTTGGAGGAATAAGATGACAAGTTTCTTTTAGGTACTGCTGGCATACAAATCAACTTTATAATCAGAAGAGCAACAGAAAAACATGCTGATTTTCGCTTCAAAGACTTGACAGATCATCGTACGCTTTGGTCTATCCATTATCTTATACAATACAACTACAAGAAGAGATAAGATGCACGTCTTTGTTTTAGGAAATGGAACAGAAAGTGACTGACAAGACCCATATGACCTTTCCTTCCTAGCATGTTCATACGAAAGATCTCAACATTCATGCATGCAATCCTACACCTTCTTCAATTCCTTTATCAAAATGAATACGTCTAGGTTTGACGCGATAATCCATGCATATGGCTAGAAATACATGAAAATCCCACTTGAATAGTATATGCACTCTTAGTTATGTGTACCTCACTTATTGGTGCATGCATGGTGGCATTCATAAAATGCCAAAAGCCTGCAAATGTTGTTTCTATAACTTTTCTTCATTTGTCGGTGTAAATATTGTGGTGGAGGAAAAAAGGTGCTAAAAGTTACGAAGTTTTTTTTTTTTTTTTTTTTTAATGAAAAGAGAAAAATGGCGATTCAAGGATTTTAACCTAGATTTGGTACATGATTCTTTTCTCGAACTTCTTTACTTCTTCTTTCTTAGTTTGCCAATCTGTTTTGCAACGTTTCTCACCAGAAATATATTTATTACAACTTTGGACGGAGAATGAATTGCTTAATATATTTCTAGTTCTTGATGGCCGTGGCTTCCTATTCCAACTCCACCCTTATTTCGTTTTCTTGGTTAACATCAAACCAAAATGGAAAACAAGAGTTATTTATTAAAAATGTGATCAAAGCAACATCGCCGTCACAGAGATGACAAGCCCAAACCACGTTAAAACAATTTTGTTTTTTTCCTGTATCAAACGAATGCTTGTCACTTCCTTTAATTCAAGCATGAAAATCGGCTAATAGTGTGCATCGAGTAAAAGGAGTTGTCAATTTTTCTGGAGAGAAAATTGAACTGAAATTTGTCTAGTCCTTTTCTAAGTTTTTGCAATTCACTGTTAAGAATAAACTGGGAATGAGAGAGGGGAAAGTGACTGAAAATGGAAATTGGCATTGACATTTCGTGTTGCAGGTGTCACTTTAATTTGTGTAGCAATGCTCTTTCAGTTATATATACCTTTAACTTAAACTAAACCCGAATAAATTACGTTAACTTCCTACCCTTTTTTTCGCACCGTTTCAAGTTCAATTTAAGAGTCTTTACATTATGCATTCAACATGTTTAAGATTGAAAAAACACACTGCATGTTTGATGTATGTAGTCTAAAAACTGACCATCTTTGCATATATGTATGAGTTAAAAGTTTATTGGGTGGGAGACAAAATGCAGGACTCCTTTCTCGATCTAAAGCAGTAAACAGAGGTATCAAATCATTAAATTGAAGACATATTCGAATATATATATATATATATATATATATATATATATATGTAGAAAAGCAGCCAAAAACTGACGCAAGCCATGATCAAATATTATCTTAACTTTTCACGTAAACAGAATATGTTTTGTGTGGACTGGTATTCATAAAGGGAAAATTTTACAAACCTCTCCTGAAGTCTTTGACAATTGCAGAGAGCTCTCCTCAGATTTTAAAAATTACACCTAGTTCCTTTGCTTTTACTATTTAGGTGACAAGATAGGCCCATCAAGCTAGATTTTTCCTCAAATACCCTAAATTACCCTTGTTCTATAAAAAACAAAAGAAAATTAGTTTTCTCAACACTTTCTTCCAAATTCGCAACAATACCACCACCAAGCAAACACTTCAAACTCCAACGCCAAATCTAATGATTCCTAAACATGCGACAAACCTACAAAGCAAACAGTTTGAACAGTTCAAGAATTTCAGCAGCTCAAAAAATTCCAACCTTTGTCTTGTAATATCATCTCAGCCTTAAATATTTTTTGAAAAATCAATTCTCCCTTGACAACCAATAACCAAATTCATGCTCTAAATTTCAATTCAATACACAACACTGTCGCAAAACAAATAATGATCTAAGCTACCACCAGCAATAGAACAATACTCCGACCTCCACAGAAATATATATTAACTTCAAAACAGAGTAAAGCCATCGATAACAAAACTAGAACCAATAATATTAATCAAGTAAAGAAAATCAAATGCATGTATTAACATCCTACACAAG